AAGTGTTGACCACTTCTTGGATCACATTCTGCACCGTAATTGTGTTTCTGCTCCGACACAACCACATCGGATCACTTATGGTTCAAATACAATCGCTTAATGCTTTCGGCGCTGATTACATACCGGCACTCAAGAGACGAGTGATGATAGCGGTTGCGGGCGTTTGGATTTATTTAGCCATTTCTGTCATCACATATTTCCTCGACTTCTCGTACGTAAAGGTAGTAATCATTTATTTTAAAAACTGATTAAATGCTTGAAGTATTAAAGTAACGAATATTTTGTAAATAGTCTGAAGATTTGTTTGTCATAAACTTTGGCAATTGGTACGTATCAAAGACAATGGCCTCGTTTGTGGTATATGTGGACACTATTTTCAACGTATACTTCGTGAGGGGAACTCTAATAATGATTATCATATGTTATATACTTCTCTGCCATTCAATTGAGTGTTTGTTCGTTGATTTAAAGCACTTTTCAATTACTCAGTTTCAACTGAAACGTGATTTAACGATAAAAGGTCTGCGAGAACTCAAAAATAGACACCAATTGTTGGTTGTATTTACCGAAGAGTTGGACACAATTTTCTCATTTATGACATTTTTATGGTTTATTCTGGCATTGATTTCGGTCTGCATTCGAGTCAACACTATTATCGCCGGCGAATATTCATCGGCAAACATTGAGGGTTGGATCAGCTCTATCTGGGCTATCGGTGTGATTGTACTCATATTCATTGGTATCCCTCTATACGCTTCCAACGTCAGCGAAGAGGCCATTCAATCTGCTTTACATATCGAGAGATTAGCGAACTCTCATTCAATCAAATCGGAGATTAATTTCTATTATGAATTGATATTATTTATGTCCAGATTATCTTTGGATCCGACTTCCATGACTTGTTATAAATTTTTTCGGATCAATAGATTCATGATTTTAATGGTAGCCCTAATTATACTTACGTATTGTTTTCTTATAGTTCATTACGAACTAATTCTCACTAATATTAAACAATAATGAGTTTTAAAAAAAGATTTTTAAAATTTAATACCGGTATAACTTATTTTTAAACAATACTTTTTTTAATACCATTTCCATCGTTACAAACTTATTTAGAAACATTACGTTAATATTTATTATAATAAATAGTGAAAATTCTGTAAAATATACTGTACTGTAGATGTATTAGAAGTAACTGAAAACTTAATCGAAAATTTCAATTATAAAATATACAAACAAAAACAAAACCAATAAAAACACAAATTTATAAAAGTCAGCGCTTAAATAAAAGTTGGACACATTTTTAGCTTCATTCGGATTGAGTGCATATTTAACCCTATAGTCAGACTGCATGAGCGCATCCCTCGCACCACACCATGAATGCGGACCACGAAGTCTGTACTGATAGGGAAGAGTGGGTCCAAAGACCAACTTCATGAATAGCTGTGTATCACTCAATAAATATTGTTTAATATCGGGTTTAACGCCAATCATGTCTGCGATATCGTCCATATATGACAACCAATCGACTGCTAATGAATTTCTGGCCGATTTGTAAAATACTTGGTCTCGTCGTTGTTTTGTGAGCGCAATATCGGCCACAATGTGGTCGTGCGATGGGAACCGGCATTTGCCGGTCATAAGGAGAGCGTAGAGCCGGGACTGCATCTCAAACAATGCAAATATACCACCATTTGGTTGAAGAGCGCCAATGAATCCCAGACTCGAGTGCGACAATTGCTGGGGAAATATCTGTTTATACAAATTCAACGCCTCATCACTCGAGTGATCAAAAAGACTTTTGTCGACAAACGGAAACGAGTGGTCATAACCCGTAGCCATCACTACTAAATCACATTCGGTTATGTCTGTATCACCTGTTTATTGACTTAATTATTTATATAATTATTTCACATTAATATAAATTAATTGAATTACCGACAAATATAACCCCATTCTCGACAAATGTTTGGATGTCTTTCTTAGCGACAATTTTGCCGCAAATCATTCTAACGGGTAATAAATCGCTAACAATTGGTATTTCAGAAAAACACCCAAAATTTGGTTCAATTCCGTAAAGCCTGTGATCGAAGCGATTGTTATAAACAAAAGTTTCAAATAACCAACAAATGAGTCGAAACGGGAAAAGACTCCGCAATTTGTGCAAAAATCTGGTGTGAAATTGATAGTCAATTGGCCATCCGTTTTGGCCAACTCTGTGCAAAACCCAACCACCGCTTCGTAACGATATGTATGTCTTATCGCAGATATAACTATAAAGATGTGGTCATATTATCTAATTATCATTTAGATTATCATATTAAACAAACGAAACCTCAATTCAACGGCCGAATCACATCCAGAATTGCCAATTCCGACCACTACTGCAGTTTTGTCTTCGTATTCTTTTAGATCCCAATGAGAGACAATATCTCGCGAATGAATTATTTTACCTTAAAGTTTGTATCATATTGTTTAATGCAATAAAATCACAATTTAAATGCAATAATATTACCTTTAAAAAGATGTTGTCCGTCAAAGTGAGGCCAACGAGGGGTCGTGTGATGACCAGAGCATACCATTACGCCATCAAAT